ATCAGATTATACAAAAAATTACAACGTAATTTATATGAATGTATTAGGAGTCAGATTATACACAGATGATGCTGATTTATGTTGTATATAAACAGTCATTCAGATGAAGATTAAGAAGAGCAGATCGAGTGAATCTGTTTTCCTGTCAAATGATTTTTTTGTTTGTGCTAAATGTCTCAGAACCCAGCAAAAGTCCAAAACAGAAAAACAAAAAATAACGAAACACAATGAAACAACATGATTGTGGTTCTGGAGACAACCAGGAGTTTAAGTGAAGCTGGACTGAGTGTGGAGTTTAGTCTGAGTGTGGTTTATACCTTTCATTCAGCAGACTATAACAGTAGATCTGTTCTGATGGTTGATGTTCTGACAAGAGGATCGACCCTGAGACAACATGATATCACTACATTAACTGAGGAGCTCATAAACAGATCATCTGACCTCAGACAGGTGGACTTCCAGAGGTTGCTGGTGTTAGAATCTATAAAATCTAATGTTTATTGACGAAAACCTCATTTTCTTGCTGCCCTGAAGCCTCTGAGCCAGACACTGCTCAGCCTGGGGACCACTCACATACCTTCAAAAAGCGTTCAATACAAAAACAACTGGACTTTATTTGTAGCAGAAGACGTTTCGCTCCTCATCCGAGGAGCTTTCTCAATTCAAAGAGCAGAGAGTGAGAGATTCAGGTTATAAGGCTGAGTGAGATAAGACACACACACATGTAGATTGGCAGTTCACACCTAAACAACCTTAAAGTCTTTGTTCCTCTAATTCACAGTCGAGGCCCCTCTGTTTCCATCAGGTGTGAAAACCGGCTGGGGATCTGTTTTAAAGTTGCATTATATGTTTTTGAAAGTGGAAATCTGAGGCCTCCTCCTCTGTTAAGAGACGGCTTTTCTCTTTTTACATCAATTGCTTCCTTCACCCCCCTCTCAAACCATCTGTGTTCTCGGTCCAAAATGTGCACGTTTTGGTCTTCAACAGAGTGTCCCTTCTCTGTGAGGTGGAGGGCTCAACACAGGAGAGCCAGCTCCACAGGACAAGACTCAGCTGTTCACCTCCACCTCACAGAGAAGGGACACTCTGTTGAGGTCCAAAATGTGAGGGGGGTGAAGGAAGCAATTGATGTAAAAAGAGAAAAGCCGTCTCTCAACAGAGGAGGAGGCCTCAGATTTCCACTTTCAAAAACCTATAATGCAACTTTAAAACAGATTCCCAGCCGGTTTTCACACCTGATGGAAACAGAGGGGCCTCGACTGTGAATTAGAGGAACAAAAGACTCTTACTGTTAATGTTGTTTAGGTGTGAACAGCCAATCTACATGTGTGTGTGTCTTATCTCACTCAGCCTTATAACCTGAATCTCTCACTCTCTGCTCTTTGAATTGAGGAAGCTCCTCGGATGAGGAGCAAAACGTCTTCTGTTACAAATAAAGTCCAGTTGTTTTTGTATTGAACGCTTTTTGAATTCATCATGTCCTGGATGACTGAGAACCTTCACCAGCACTCACATACCTTCTGTCTTTATCTTCAGCGCTGTGCGAACCAGAGCGAAGAGCGTAGCGTTAAAGGTCACCATCCCGTCAGAGTTCAGAGGCATGTTCATGGCCACCAGCCGCTGGGATTAAGATGAAAAAGAGCATGGAGTGAATCATTCCCAGAGTTCCCAGAGAAGCCCTGCAGTCAGCTGGGTTTTACCTTACAGGCTACTCTGTGAGGACAGAGCTTCCCGAATCCCAGAGGAGGCTGAATCCTCCGGAGCAGAGCCACCACATCCAGATGTTTGATTCGACCTCTGAGAGAGACACAGAACCGACATCTACAACATCTCTAACACTGCTCTTGTCCAAGCAGAAGGAGGAAAAGTTGCTTCTATATCTTAGAAATGCTGGATTCATAGGGAGCTCGGTTCTATCTGTTTCTCTTTTCTTTATGGACCTGATGTTTAAACAGAGGGCCGCCATGACAGGTTCTGACCATCGGACACCCAAACCAAGAGGCAAAACTTTATATATATATTTCATATTCATCTGAGCAACGTTTTCATCTTGAATTAGAAACTGCACTGCAGACTTCCACACTTTTAAACTGGAGTGAACTGAACTCACATGCAAACCACTCTTCCTCCTCTCCCTTTTAAGGGTTGAGAAAGAAATAATACCAATAATGCACCAATAAAATGATGAGGATCTATCAGGTTTCAAGTTTCCAAAACATACAATGCAGCTTTGGGTCTGTTCCTTGGCTAGTTTCACCTTCATGCTTGAGACCCTCAGCCAGGGGCGATTCTAGGATATGCCCTTTAGGGGTGCTTAGCCCCTGGTTCTGACCATGACTCTTGGCTTGAACAACACGGTGGCCATTTGTGTCAGAAGCATTTGTAATGATGAGGGGACACATTGGTAAGGGGTGTGGGGTCCTCCCTGAGAAAATTTTTGAAGTAGATGACATTTCCTGCATTCTGGTGTATTTTAATGGTTGTTAAACATCTAGTTTTACCTACATAAGTAAACACTTGATTCAATAACTATTTTAGAAAGCAACAAGAATTAGCCTGACCAACAGCTCTCCTTGTGTGAATAGAGCATGCTCCATTTCTCTCATACATCCTAACCCCCCACCCCCACCCACATACAATCAGAAGTTGCTACATAGCTATAGCTATAAAACACACAAAACAAAGCACAGCTAGCTTCAAGAATTAACCTACATACCATAAACATACATTATGATAGAAAATATATAATTTTCTTGCAGTTACCTTTGTACAGATGAACATGTT